CACTGTGACTACTGCGACCTACTAGTGTGATCTAACCCTTAGTTATTTAAAAACAATAGACTACAAAAGAAAATTCTCTTTGAGCACAGAACTCAGTCATCCAAGGAAATAACTCTCATTTCTGCCAGCTGATCTTGAGACAGGGAAGCGCTCCAAAAGTACTAACATCATCCAGCCTTCTGGGAAGCAACTGCATTGGATCAGTTAAAGCAAAATAAGTGTTCACCACCATAAAGCAATAGCATTTAGTAAAAAAGAACCTCTGATACTTGTTTAGCAGATTTTCTTTCCTGTGGTCCACAAGAATTAAGTGGCAAACATGCCAGTATTCTCATGTGCACCAGCCAATGTCACCACAGAGAGCAAGACGCCCCTTAATATTGGAACTGGTACAGAAATGCTTTTGATATTTTGGCTGAGTAACTGAAGCATGAGCTGCACCAGTACTACCAACATAAAAACCAACTCTACAACTGATTCTATACACAACTCTGTATGGTCTGGTAGTTTTACAACAGGAAAGCTACAGGATGCAATCTGGTATTGTCCTTGAAGGACATGGTTCACCGAAAGCAGTGGGCTTTTCAAAGCTTTTAAGGCCAACCAAACTAAATTTTGCATGCACCTAAATATTATGTCAGTGCCTACGGTATCTTCAAATCCCAAAAATCTTCTACAACAACTTATCCTGAAACAATGTTCACATGCCATTCTGAATATACTAACAGGCAAAAAAGAAAATTACTATATAAAAGACCTAACACTGATGTTTAAGAAAGCATTATTTTTTAATTCTATTAAACTAAATGCATGTCATTGAAGACAGCCAACTATCTAAACCAGATTCATGGAAGATGTTACTGAAGAAAGTAAAAGAGATTTTCCATTTGTGTGGTTTAACCTCATTAAGATTTATTAAATTAATTGCCTCTTAGATTAAAATATATACTGTGAATCAAGTCTGTTGCAGTTATTTCTCTTCCAGAAATAAGACCATCTTATATGATGAGGATGAGTAAGTAACTTTTTCATTAAATATCTGTAGTTAAGAAAAAACCAACTCTGACCATTAACTTAAAGTAACAGATATCAAGGGTCTGCTAGATTTAGGAACTCTTTTTCTGGGGGGTTGGTTTGTTTGTTGGCTATGGTTTTTTGTTAAACAAAGCCTAATAAGGCAATTTTCAGGAAAATAAGAAGGTGCATTTCCCAAACTAGATTGTATAATTTGGCAGTTGCATCTTTCCTTTGCTTAGTGGAAAAAGCAATACTCTTACCATATGAAGTCACTTTGAAGGCATCCCAAATAAAGGACTGAAGACAGTCAGGGCACTAATTTATCCTGAAGAAAGAAAAGACTACTTTATAAAAGAATGTAGACTGTAAAAATCATCCAAGAGGCAGCAGTTAAACCTTTCTTGGAAAAGTTACAGCCGAGGAGAGAATGGACACCAACCACCAACTAAATATTGCATAACAGGTGATAGAGGCAAGCACCACAAAACGGAAAACTATTATAACCCATTGAAACACAGATTTTTTCCAAACCAAGGTTTTAAAGGAAGAAGCGAGTTGCGTAACACTTGTTTTTTCAAACCCTCCTTCATAAGATTCCTTATAAAGTGCAGTTAATGAGAAGACTATCAACTGGTGTAACAGTTACTGCATTACAGATTATGCTTTAGGATACTTCCAAGTAATTGGGGAGTGCTACCGATTCATACTGAACACAATTCTTACAGGCTGGTTTTAGAGAAGACAGAAATAAGAGCTTATCACAAAGTTCCCTAAGAACTGTCACCACTGATGCTAAAAGGCACCTAGGAGGAAGAAAGCAAGCACCATGTTGTTTGGCAGCTATCCATGATATCTGCACACCAGTGGATTTATCCAGTTGCTTTCTGAAGTTCTGCAGAACTCCTGTGAGGAAGCAGAAATCTGTACTACATGGCTAATTTATATTTCTGGAGGAAGAAAAAAAGAAAACCAAAAAATTTGAAGCATTCTGCAAAGGATCTTCAAACGAAAAGGGCCATTTGCTGTGAAACACAGAAAACAGCCAAAACTAAACCACAAACTCCTGTTTCATAAACAATTGCAGGAAATACTAAAATCCTTCTGTAACATACTTATCTTAAAACTAGAAGACTAACATTTTATAACCCATAATAATCCCGCTTAGATGTTCTCTGAAACACCACTGCACTTCCTCAATAATACGTAATTGTAACTATGAAAAGTATTTTTTTCAAAAGGTTCTGCTAAGCCTAAAAACAACATCCGATTCAACAATGTATATTTACAGCCTTTCTATTATCTAGTGCTTGCGGAGAAGGAATTTTTCTCGTGGGCAAAGGGGAAGTTTTGGTTAACACAACATTCATGTGGACTTGCATGTACTAGTAGACACCAATCCTATGCCTCCAGCTCGCCCAGAGAGTGACAGAAGAGGACTTTGCCAAACAGGAACATACAGCCTAAAATCAGGCAGAATGAGGTGGCACGGGATGGGAAATTACTGAGTTGACAGTGGCACTCCAGGGTACACAAACCAGCAGTTAGCAGCTCCCCGCTGATGGAGAAAGGGGAGAGAGCTCTGTCTGCTCTGGGGTCCTGCTCCCTACTGAACACCGCTGAGCAGCGAGCCGGTCCCGCTTCAATCGCAGGTACTCCCACTGCAATTCCAGGTGTTGGCTTATAGAATAACAGCCATAAACCTCAAATTAATTTAACTGGAGGGGAGCCAAAAGGAGAAGAACTCAAAATAAATTATTTCTTACTTAACTGTAATATAACTACAGTAAAAATTTAAATTCCCTTGTAGAGCCTTAGTCACAACAACTACGCTGGTATCGCGGCGCTGAGAGCGCCTGCTGGCAGAGACACAGCTCGTGTCGACAGAAGATGCTCTTCTGCTGACATAGCAGCCCCATCATTTCAAACAAACTTCGTTCTTTCCTTTCAGAAGCCAAATTTTCTTTCAATTGCTGCTTCCTTGACCTGTCTGCACCGCCACAGCTGGGCCTGCTCCACCAAATTCTATCAAAAGATTCACATAATTTCCAAGTGAGGAGTTGCATTCCTCAAGTCAAAAAGCTTTTCTATTTTAACTTTCTACAATTCTTTTTAAACTTTACATTCCCTAAGTGGGATAAATACTAATTACTGTAACTTTGACATCAATCAACGTACATGATTCTGGGAATACAGATTCCCAGACACAAACTTAAGGATATTTAAATATAGCACAAGTCCTGAGATTCTTCTAAAAAGCTTAATGAAAAAGAATTCTGTCTCAACAAATCTGTGAGTTAAGAAAGCATTACACGCATTTCAGAAGAGGAAAATGGTTCAGTAACAGAAGAAGCTGATGAGCAGAAGAGATGGTCCGCTTTGATATTTAACTGGTTTCTTTCCCAAGCCTTATATGTAACTTACATACCCTACTTCAAAAGATTAAAAGGTGAACTTTACTTGCTCTTACAGAAGCACTTTTTCTTCTTTTATAAAAAAAAGAAATGTGAAAATCAAAGCACTAAAATATCAGCGAAAAACCCACCTGTATATAAATTATTATATTTTAAAAATACAAATTAATATTCAATATCATTGCTGGAATACTGCCTTTCCAATCACATGGAAGACATACAGCAGTAACATACTGAATGCTCTTTCAGTTTTTGCTGCGTTCACTTAGTTACTTGAGAAGGGGACAGAAGCTGTTCATGCACTGAAAATCTGTCCTGAGTACCACTAATAACAAATGAGCGGTGAAGTCTGCTAAAAATATTTAAAAAATGGGAAATTGTTTCTGATCTTATTTCCTGGGGCTGAGCTCTAGAGGGGTTCCTTTACATGGGCACAACATTTGTTACTCAGCATCCACGGCTAAATAGATGTTCCTGCCTGTGCGGAACAGCCCCTCATGGAGCAGTGGGGAATGAAGCAGAGAGACAGACAGAGAACTGAGAAAACTTCATCTGCCCAGGCGCTTCTGCAATGAACCTTCCAGGGTAGCCCACAATACCAGCATTTCTCAGTTTTCCCGCTAACCATCCAGAATTTGGCAATTCTTGAATTAAATGGAAATCAGTCCAGACATTTCACTCAAAACCAACAGGTTTTCAGCTGACAACTCTGATGGCAAATGTTACAACCATATTTCAAATAATGATTGCAGAGAGAGAAAAAAAATATCAAAAACATGAAGAGTTTGGGGCTTGAATTTCTAAGCACATTACACATTTCTGATTAGTACTTGTTTGAAAAAAATACAGCACAAACAAAAATTCTTTCACTATACCTTCTTTTCCCCCTTAGAAATAATATACCATGCTCCAGGGAAAGCATATTATTTACATTTGTTACATTTGAAGAAAAGAATGTACTTTAAAAACCCTAACTAGGAATCACTGGTCAACCACAATAAGCCATGATACAAAGCTGGTACATATCCTTTTCAGTAACAATGGCAACAGGGTGGAGTGTTCAAAATGGTATTTACACCAATAAAAATTATTTCTTTAAAGTTTAATTTTGAAGTTCAAGATTATCGCCTGTTCTGGAAACAAAGAAAACAATTCTGCACAAGTCTGAATTCTGGAGACTTAAAAGCCCACACCCAGAAATATGGTAACATGAAGACTGATGAGCTAGTAATTTTGAGAAAAATGTGTTAGTTCAAATGCAGTGACTGGATGCTGATAAGCAAATAATTTTTGCTGCAGTGATTTAAAAAAACCAGCTTTCCTCAACTATCGCTTCAAGTGTCTCAGGGAGGTTAATGTATCCACAGAGGAACTTGCAAAAGGGAACGAAAAAAGACAAAGAAATAACATCTTTGCTGAATCATTTTTAAGATGGCTGCTAATTGCTCGCTGAAGTTTCATCCATGAGATTATATAATCTCCATCTGTAATATTAAAAACTGAGAAACATATTCTTTCATGTCTGGTTATTTTTTAAAATCAATAAGCACACACACTGAAGAACCACCTTACCTGACAGAGTTTTGTCTCCTGTTTTCTATTTTCATTAAAATTCGTACATCTGACTGAGGAGACGCTGTATAGATTTTTAATCTGAAAAAAAAAAAAGCCACAGAGATGAAAAAACAATGATGTACAATGACTCTTCTCCTTATAATCTATAAGAGATGGATATCTTTTGCATGTCAACAACCAAAAGTATGTACCTTCATAAAGACAATAATTGCCACATACTAAGTACTTCCTATAAATTAGGGCTATAACTACCAGTATAATTTTTTAATTACTCCAAAGAAAAGGTTCACTGTCACCCCCACTGAGATTAATTTTTTAGAATTACAGTTGCTTCAATTGATCTTTATGCCACGAGTCAATTCCTTAATCTTTATCTGCTGGCTATTTTTATTTTATTTAAATTTGCTGGTTATTCTCTAGGGTTAGTTGGTTGGTGAATGTTAGGAAGGTCTTTGTCACAGGAATTAAAGATGTACCGACCAGGAGCTCAGCTCTCCATGCTGGAAGTGCAGCTAGGTTTAAGTCATTTATTCAGAACCGTGCACTTATTTTATTAATGCATTTGATGAACTTGCCAGGAAAGTTATTCAATACCCACCTTTGACAAACCACAGGATCTGACTCCACTGGATCAATGTATGGCTTAAGGATATCAGCAAGAGTTTTATCGTCAGGCACCCTTTCACCAAAGATAAAAATCAAATACATAAGACATGGTTCATCATGTACACAAAAATCTATTATCTGAGTCATTTGGAGGAAGCTGTATATTTGCACGCTATAGTGCAAACTGAGTAGTTTATGGGAGAATCATAAATGTGTATCAATACAGGATAGATAATTGACAGCTTTATCTCAATTTCAACACTGGGACTTCACTAGGAGTAAACAGATGCCTATCTGTAGTTTCTAACTGCAGCACAAACATGCTGTTCCTACAGCCCTAGAAGTAGGCAAGAGCATGCCCCTTCAGGCTAGGAAAAAAGGAGAAAGATTTGTCAACAAAACCTTATTTTTTGGCCTTTGCAAAATGTGCTTGTGGGCCTTCCTACAAAGCAAACAATGCAACCATTTCATCCTATACGAAGGTCAGCTCCACTGTGCAGGCGAGGAGGGACGGCAAATCTTGCTGAACATCTGCTCCATGAGAGCAGGTTTAGGGGATATCGCTATCACGAATATACAAGCTGCTCTGTTTACATAGAGAAAAGGACTATCAATCAAACATTTTGCCCAACTTGAAAAGCCTGCTAGCTTTCAAAGAGGAAAGCACTACACAACTTAAAGCATTTTTTTCCATTTAAATGCCCTTCTAATTAAGACTAAAAATAATATTCAAATTTATCTTGTATAACAGAAAAAGATAAGAACTGATCAAAGTATTTTGCAGTTTAATTTCAGCAGTTTAATTTAAGCTTTATAAAAATCTGTTTTTCAAGCTCTGTACCGTTTTAAAGTGTATTCAGCATGACAGTGAGGAAATACGAGCTTCAAATGCCAGTAGAACTTATTCTCCCTGAAAATAAAAAGAAATGCATATTCTTAATGTTAACTGGTAACTACTATTTGCTGTTTCTATAATAAAGCTCAGTAGCCTACGACATGGATACAGAAGAAAATATACAGTCAAGATTTTGAATGGCACTTTCAAAAAGTAAAAGAGGCATGCAGAGAAGCTGAGGGGCACTGAAAGATACAGCGCTCCCAGATCCTGCTGAATTTCAAGTTCTCATGGGATGAAAATCTGTTCTTTATAAATACAGGTAAGATGTCTCCAATTAACTGATCAACAGCATTTCACATTTTAAAAGGGAACATCTTCCAGCTGAATTTCTATATGTATAGCTGCCCTTTAATTTCAGAATAGGAAAATGCTTTTTGGCATATCACCCAGGACAGGTTGCCAAACCGTTGCAGGCAGAGTGACCTGTGCAACAGCAACAGGCAGAGGTCCCAGCTGAAGCCAGGTTCTACACAAAATAGGGAACTTGACATCACAGCAGCGATGGCCTCAGTAAAACACATGTCATGGGTACAGAGGAAAGCTGCATTTTGGTATCACATGGATAACGGAAATTAGAAATTACAAATGTTTTACAGAAATATCAGGAAGCTTTTGTTAGAGAACAAAACTGATGCCGTGTTCCTTTCTGGAGTTTAACAGTCATCTTCCCTTTCCAGCTAGCATTATTAATACCTGAGATTAAAAGCTACTGAAGCATGGTTCCAGTGCAATGTCATCTTAGGAAAGGCAGTATTACTTGGACGATACTTCACTAGATTAGGAAATTTCCTTTTGCCTCTTTACTCATCTGCAGAAACACTGCTGAAGTCAGTATTAACTCAAGACAAAGCATTTTTCCTCTCATTGCTCCAAATTGTCCCATTCAATGTGATGACAGTAACAATGTTTTTCTAAAAGAATCTCCTAAAAAAAAGCACAGTCTAACAGGTAGGTGCGCTGCCCTTTGCTCTGGTTCAGAATTTTACACTCATGACAAACAGCAAAGACTTGGAAGAAGCAGCAGGGAACTACTGCCATTTAGCAATCAGAGCCCAGACATCTATACAAAGCACAAAATATAGGCATGTCTAATGGTACCTCCCCTCCCTTTTTTTCTTAACGCTACTTAAGACCTATGAATCATTATATCCAAGATAACTACCATCAGTTATGCAAAAATTCTGGTACTACAATTAAAAGTAAACACAGTGTTGTTCCAACATGTTGTTTAATTTGTTTATCAGGCAGATGAGACATTATCCAGCAGGTTCTATCTGGCTGCTGAGAAGAGTGTGCGTGCATCCAGTAGCAAAACAGTAAACCTAGCTGCCAAGTTCAATTAACTATTATAACAATTTTTAAACTCAAGCACTTTATAAAAAGTGCTAATACAAATAATCATTCCCATACCTAGTTGTTCCTAGGAGAAAACTGAGCTTTACAGCTGAACTACAATGCCTGGAGTATAAGTAAAATCAGAAGCATTACTGTTTACCACAAAAAGAGCAAGGAAGAACCCTAGCTCCACGGAGCTAAGAATTAGAGTAAAAAGAACTAATGAAGGCCAAGATCGCCAAAGCAATATGTGACTCAGCAGAGTTTCACAGTATGCATTTTGATTTTCCCCTCTTACCTGCTCGTATTTGCAAAAGATAAGAGAGCCTTCCTTAAAGGAGAAGGTCAAGTTAGAGCAAATGTGGTCTGAGAGAGGTGAGAAAATTGTATGACCAGAGCTGGAGGGTAACACAGACAGCATATATAACCAGACGTTGACATAGCATCTTGCCTCATAAACTTTATGTTATTTTGCATATTGGCATGATACTGTCTGAAATGATCAAACTGAAAAAAGTTTTGAAATAACTCAAAATCAGTGAGTGGAATTCTAGAAGGTTTTTGCAAAGGAGTAAAACAAGGTCTTGCAATTCTTCATCTTGACAGCTGAAGGACTGAGTGCAGTGGGACAGTGGGATCAACTACACCTTCAGCAAGTCTGTCGATGACGCCTATAGGTAAGATGGGGAGGGACTCTTTGTCAGGGAGTGTAGTAATAAGACAGGGGGTAAAAGTTCTAAACTGAACAAGGGGAGATTTAGATTAGATATTTAGAACAAATTCTTTGCTGTGAGGGTGGTGAGACACCAGAACAGGTTGCTCAGAGAAGTTGTGGATATCCCATCCCTGGAAGTGTTCAAGACCAGGTTCGATGGGGCTTTGTGCAACCTGGTCTAGTGGGAGGTGTCCCTGCCCATGGCAGGGGCGTTGGAACTCGATGATCACTGGGGTCTCTTCCAACTCTAACCATTCTATGACTCTAAGAAAACATCAATGCTACTGTACAGATAGAGCAAACTGGAATAGCAATAGGGTTATGGAACCAGTTGAATTAACAAGCTTGTGATTCCTCTCTCAGACATATGTTACTATCTGGCATTTAACAGAGCATGGTATTAATTGAAACCATTTTCACAAGGAGACTTTAGTAACAGTTGGCAATCTTTAGACATAGAAATCGGGTCATCATCATTAGCTGCAAGAAACACTAGTGATGGGCACATTTATTACAATACTTAAAAGGATTGTTCAAATGAGGTTTTTTTGTTATTTGTTATCAACTAAAATGAGGCTTTCTTGCATTTTTTCATTTAACTCATCATCTCCACAATTTTTTCAAACAGGCCGTGGTTATCTACTCTAAGTGACCAACCCTTCCTGTGATAGGGACTTTCTTTCTGTCAAAGTTTTAAATCAAGACAGCCTAAGCAGCAGCAATACTGCTCAACTTCCTCTCACAAAGTGGAAACAAACTGTGGCACAGCTCACCGAAACATGTATGTGGCCTAGATGGCTGTCTCTAACACAGGACCTTGAAAAAGAAATGTTCCAGAAGTAGTTCTAGCCAGCTGCTACCCGGTTTTAGGAATAATCTTTATGTGTCTGCAGAAACAGTCGCCACACAGCACACTCTGATTTCTCATGCAAGACCAGTTCCCTGTGGGCTCACTGAGGCAGACTCAGCTCATCACTGCAGCTGTATAATCAGCTTAAGAGGGATCTTTTCAGACTTTTGCCTTCCCTCCCCCTTCCAGGCACAATCTAGTCTATGGCATAGAGAACAGAAAGAGCTATGAGCTTCAGCTATTTAACTGAAGTTAAAAAGATCATTCCTTGTCAAAAAGTTTCACTTTGGAAAAACAGTAATGTTGATTTTTTTTTCAGCATGCTAATACTGAAACTGCAGTTAATTACTTCATTTCTCTTCAAAGCACTCTTGCCTGAAAGTAAATGGCAAGCAGAAAGAGGTAAGATAGATTAAGAACTGGGTAGAAGGAGTAAGGAAAAAAGCAGCTTAGAATTGGAATAGCCTCATACCCTTCACTGTACAACGAAGTCTTGAAAAACAACTTGCTGAATGCCTATTATTAAAGCAAAGCATCCCTCACCATCACTGATCTCTGCCCAGTTAGAGAACTTGATGTCAACTGTAGATGCTATCAAAGTTGCTTCACAAAAAGTTCTGATTAAAATTAGATATCCTGGCTCCAAATCTCTCTGACTTCATTTTCCATTATGGCTCACAGGGTTAGTATTTCCTTCAGCTACAAATGACATGCACTATGTTCATTTTCTAAATGAAAACACTTAATTGGGTAAGTCATCTGCAGTTGAGTAACAGCTCACTGCATGAAGTGTTCCATGTCGCTTGACTGCCATGGAACACCACTCCACGGTTTTCTTGAATACCAAGGCACTAACTATAAAACTACCAAAAGGCAGAGATCTGGATGAGGCACAAGCACATCCTTGATGTCAGTAAAAGCAGCATCATAGCCCATCCCTGCATTGCTTGGCTTCACATCCTATTCTGGCTACTTCAGAAGCATGGAAACTGATCAGAGGGAAAAAGAGGAGCCAAGCACCTCTTCCCCTGCGTGAGATGTAGCTGTAAATTATGTTCAGAAGTGCACAGGCTGTTTTGCAATTGCTGTTCTTCTAAACCAAAGTAACTGTCTCTCATCTCTCCTAAAACCTAAAAAAAATATTTTCTGTAATAAACCGTAGTTTTCACAGAACTTCATGTAAATGATTTTTAAACTTTTCACAGCAACAACTGATTTATTTTTATTTCTGATGTCACAAAGACAGCAGCAGTACCTACAAAGTGGCTGTTACCTTCAGCTAGCTCTCAGGACAACTGCAAAAATTCTCACCATCTTTTGCAGATGCTCCAAGTACTGCAGATGTAAGCACTACAGCTGCTGGGAATTAAAGGGCAGGTCTACAAAGGATTCTGGGACTTGGACATGACAGTTAAGTGCCCTGCCAGATTTTCAGAATAGTCCAATTTACATACTTCACAAGTGTTTTAAGAAATATCTCATATAGCTTAACTTTCTTACCTAGGTTTCCTCTGAAGAGTCACTTTTGCCTAGACTGCAGTAGGTTTTATGCATATAAAACCTTTCTAAATGTGTGCATATATATATCTACACACGTAAAATAAAATATGTATCAACAAAATATTCCAAATTCATCATATCACATCTTAAGATACCAACTGTATTTCTGGCTCTGCAGAAGTAATTCCCTGCCAGCCTGTCAAAGGTAGCGATTCGCTCATGATTTTGTTTCTATTTAGCAACTAATATTCTTAAAATGTTTTAAAAATAGTACACAGGACATCTTCTATCAAAGCACAAATACTGTAGTATTTCCTGTCTGTGTTATTTTGAATTGATTAAAGAGATTAAAAGGACATAAGGAAGTTTAATGAAAAGGACTACTTTACAATACCCAGTACTCTCACCTAATGCACTGAAGTTTAATTGAAATACTGGGCTTTCAGTATCTACACCTTTGGATAATAATGCGCTTCTCAACTTCCTTAACACTGAAGATTCAGCCAAACTAAGTGACTAGATTCTCTTGTGGATAAAAAAAAAAAAAATTTAAAATAAACAGAACACGAAGAAGTGTGATGATTTCATCCTCTCCGCCCCCACCAAACTCTA